GGATTTCTTTGACAGTTTTAGGTTGCTAATTTTCATGTCCTCTTTTCTAGGTTCTTCCAGATGACATGATAGTACTTGCTGAACCAGATCCCAATGACATGGTTCAGGCAATTATGAGAGCAATATCTATTCTCCCTAGGATTGATCCACAAGATATGCATGACTGTGTGAGTGTTATTTTAATTAACTTAGGTCTCTCTAAAGCTTGAATTGTGATAGATGGGCTAACTTTTTTTTCTTTTAAATCTTTGCATTAGATGGAGAAACTGTATAACTGGCATGATGTTGCCAAAAGGACAGAGATTGTGTATGATCATGCCTTGAAACGCTCCAATCAAAATCTTCTTCAATATCTCTCATGGTATGTCATGAAAAACTTCTCTCTGATTTAATAAGTAATGTTCTAACAAATTTTTTTAAGGAAATATGTCCTGTTGTCCAAAAATGTGGTGCATCTGGTGTAAGTAGTCTTGTCTCTTCTGATGATATGATATAATTATAAAACTGAATCTCCAAAACCTCTGTATTTGATGGAACATTTGATTCTCTATGAATCATTGTAATATGTGTCATTAACATCCTTGTAGTGCATAACATGAACCACAAAACTGCTCTATTAATGTAGTTTCGAACATGTCTTGTCTTTTGTATAGTGTTAAACATCCATGACTGTGTTTTATTGCTTTAAATTTTTGAGCCATCTTTACAGTTGCTGATAACATAATTGTTTGTTAGGTATCTTTCATGTGGTTCTTGGGCGGGCAACCTCTTTTGCTTGGTTATGATAATTGATTTTTTTGCTATGGCGTCTTTTGCAACTATTGCAGGTAGTTTAGCGCTTTGTCTTAGATAGTTATATATATCCTCAGTCCTATATTTTTGTTTGCTTGTCGTCTGGCTTTCATCTATTTCTTCCAACCCCATCAGCCTGCAGAAGAGATTGAGGAGGTGCCTGATTTCTTTCTACCCCACCATCAAGAGCGTGAGGTATTGGATGGTCTCAAAGAAGAATAATGCCCAAGTTGAAATATTCTCCTCCAACTTTAGGTAGGTAAAAAAAGTTGCTTTGGCTTACTTATTCATCCTCATTGAGAAATTCTTTTCCCTTCCTATTGGGGTTCATTTCTTTATTTGATTGGCATTGATATAATGACAACAGCTCCATTTCCATAATGTTTGCCTTCCTCATTGGGCCTTTTGACGCATGTGTCCTCCAAGAGATATCAGCATCAACCCGGGAAAGAGGAAAGGACAAAATTGGTTGACCAAAGGTCCCAAAAGTGTCTCCACCAATCCCTACATGACACAGTTAAGGTACAACCTAATGCTTCTCCCCTCTATTCAAATTATTAAACCCAATAATATATCATGCCTGGCAAGCCTGAAGTTGATTGATCTTACATCTGTCTTCTTCCCCAGTTAGGTGCCCTCTCATGTTTAATTCCATAGCTTCCTAGCCCTTTGTTTTTTTGTAAGTCATCCTCATTTCCTTGTTCTTAGACATTTGTTTACTCTTTTTTTTCTTTAAAGTCATCTGTTTACTCAATCGAAGGGGTGCTTTCTACTTTTGCCAACGTTAATCTTCTGTTTTCCTAATTTATGAACTTTCTTGCATATGAACAAAACCAGGAATTATCAATGCCTTTATAATGAAATGACGTCTTTATAACGCAATTGTATGTGTGCCTGCGTGTGCGCACGGGCATTACTACCAATCATTTTATGCACTTTCCTGTTAAAAACTAGATGACTTAAAGGTTACGTTTCTTTTGTTTCGGTTTGTGGATTACATATGTAAGTAAATTCTAATTGGTTATATAAATTAAAATGCTTGGATCGTGTTAGATAGATGCCATATACCTAGGATTTAAATTGAGGTCATCAACTAATTTCGTTGACTCAATTGCAAGAAGAACTTTGTCAAATGGATAAGCTAGATAATTAAATACAAGAAAAGGCCCAATAATCTCTTTACATTCGTGGTTTTTACATTTTTTTACAACAAAGGGGTGAGGATTTGAAACTCAAATTTCTTAATCTTTAACATTGTCTTTAATCACTAGATTAATGTCTCATTGCTTATGTCGATTTTGTTAAGGTGTCTTCATTTGAGTTTACATACATGTTGAGGTTAATCTATTCCCAAACAATCTTAAGAATGTTGACTAGCTTCTTAGGAAGATTTACTTGAGATTAATACTATTCTTAGGAGCATTCAAGAGTCAGGAATGGTATCAATTAGGTTAATTAAGTTCCCACGGCATAAAACAACTAGAAAGCCAAGAGTGAGGGGATCAACACAAGTTCAAGCCATTATTATTAATTTCATCAGTTCCCTCCCAAAGCATAAACTTCCATAAGATGATAAAATAAGCCAGAGCACAATATTATTATGCCTGGATCTGCAATCAAGCAGGGCAAGCATGGTGATTGGTGAAGGCACCTACTGGGACAGGGAGTTCCCCACATCGATCACGAATCGGTATCTGACATCAGATTTGGCAAGCCTCCCCATAGCCGTGTTGATATCTTCCATCCGGATCAGCTCAATGTCTGCAGCAATGTTGCGCTTGGCACAAGGATCTATCATTTCCTGCATCTCTTTCATGCCGCCAATTTGACTTCCCCCAACAAACTTCCTCCCTGTAAGCAAGAGATGGTTAGAAAATGCAACCAACAAGAAGACCTTACCAAATTCACCGGGAAGATTCTCCTCTACAAATTCATTTGGCCAAAACACCTATTTGCCCTCTAAATATATATATTTTTTCTATGCTCAAAATCCTAAACTAATTTTTCTCTTGATCAATATCCTTCATATTTTGAAACCTACAAAAAACTCCAAATTATCAATAAAGTGAGGGTGTAAATAAGTGGTTTGATTGATAATTTTTGAGTTTTTTACAAAATTTAAATTATGGAGGGTGTTGACCGGAAGAAAATTAGTTGAGGATGTTGATTGCAAAAAAAAAAAAAGAAAAAAAGAAAAAGAAAAAGTGTAGGGTGCAAACAAGGGGTTTGATCAATTCATCTTGTGACATTTGGAGACCCATTGAGAGCTAGACAGATCCATTTTGTAACTTTCGGCTTCAATTACATTAAGCTAAAAAAACAAATTGAAGACCCAATAGTCCCATGAAGTGTGGCTCACCTAGAACTAATGGAAAAATGGGCAGCTCCAGGGGCTTATCAGGCAAGCCCACAGTGACCAGTTTTTCATTCATCTTTAGCAGACTAAGCAGAGGAAGTAGGGGATGGACTGCAGGAATTGTGTCCATAATGAAGTCCATGGTACCCATAGCTGCCTGCAAAGTGAAAACAGAACTTAGTTTAGGACATTTTAAGCATCATAAACGTGCAAGTAATCAGCCATCCTAGATTATCAAGACAGCATTTCAAATCCAATTCCTAGTGGTCATGAATTATTGTTAAGCCGAGGGGTGTTCTTGGTATGGATTGAATCGGATTTTAATATTTTTAAAATCAACTAATTTACTTAGGTAATAAAATTTCTAAATTAACTTAATCTATTGTTATATTATAATTAAATCAATCTAACTTAGATTAGATTAATGTGGTTAGGTTAAATTGATCGGTTTTTAACAGTATTTTAAGTATATTTGATCAAGTTAAAAATCAAAGCATTAAATTATAGAAAATATAATTATAAAACACAATAACATCATTGAGAATAAATGATCCAATTGCTAGGCTAAAGTAAGAATTAAAAAGATGGCAAAAAAAAGGGTATGAACTAATAAAGTATTCAAGACGTGTAAGTTCACGTTGCTCCCATTAAAAAAGATAGAGTTTTAAGAGTAAAGTTTTATATAATGGATGATTTAGAGCTATATTATTTTTTAATTAAGTTAATTAAATTATATTGTAAAATTATAGTACGTAAGTGAAATTAAAATATAATAGTACATACAATTAATATTATAATACAACCATAAAAAATATTATATTAAAGAAATAAGAAAAGTAAAACAAGAAAAGGAAAATATAACATACAATTTGTATACAAAAATAAAAATTTTAAAAATATATTATATTTTTATGAGAATAATGCATATTAGTCCCAACTTCCAAAAAAAAATTAAATTCTTAACTTTAAACAACATTATTTCATTTAATTAAAACCCAATCTAAAATTTAGAATTCTATCTTATTAAATGTTGATATATGAATTTAGAAACTAAAAACCCAATTCAAAATTCAAAAATTTACCTTGTTACATGTTGGTACTTGAATATAAAAACTAATTATATTAGAATATACAATTAGTTTCCAAATATAGTTATTAACATTTAATAATGTAAATTTATGAATTTTGAGTTGGAAAATAACTGGTATATCATTTGGTTCAATATATTTGTTAACACTTATCGGTTTAACCATTAAAATTTACCTTTGAAAATTTGTTTGCCTTAAATTCAAATTTAAAAATAATAGTTTTTTTATGAGTGTATTGGCATGTGTATTAAATTGGAAGGTATGCCAATCAATCATTTTTTTTATTTCACCAAAAATTCTAAAAAAATATACTCATTAGAAAAATAAAAAAAAAAAATATTATAGACAATGATTGTACACACTCGGTTCAATATATTGCATAATATATTCATTAAAAAATCACTATTTTTTTATTTGAAATTAAAAACAGACAAACTTAAAAATACAATCATGTGCATAAGATGTAAGAACCGATTGAATTGATTATATTTATATTATATTTTTAATGGTTGAACAAAAATGTATCAAAAAATATGTTGAACCGAGTGTGTATAAATCATTTTTTCAGTAACTATATTATTTAATTAAATTATTTTATAATTGGAATGTTTTGTTCAATTTGAAAGTAAAATCACAAATTAAACTATTTATATCAAATTTAAAATTTTATAATTTAAACTAACCTAAATTGATGTCT